TCACTCATACCTCTCCAGAATAACTTGGTGCTTGCGACCATCAAGTATATCAAGCATTGCTTATAGTGGATAGAGCTGTTATGACAGCGATGATGATAGAAAATGACTGATTATGACCATGTACAAAATAAGATGTCGAAATAAAAATAAGAAACCAAAATAAGATGAGGATAAATTGTATAAATATACTCCTTCAAGCCTGGGTGCTGGGCGGGTATAGTCAAGTATCAAGTATCAAGTATATAGATATAAAATCCCCCGAAAGATCTACACAAAAAATTAAGATAAATGGTATTTGTTGGTTAATGCGAAAAATAATTTAGGAAGTGAAGAACATGAAGAACGAATGATTATCAAAAACAGTAAGTTCATGCAGCAAATGTTGGGGATGGAAATGTACTTTATGTTAAAGTAATAAATTAGATAACGAAAAATCTCTACCCCAGACGTTCCACATTCGATGCATGTATTTTATATTTGATCCACGACTGCTTATTCTTATTACATCGTTTTAAAAGATAGAGTTCAGCTGCCGCTCGAGTTCTTTTCGTAGTCTCACAGGCTTCACTTTTGGAAAGATATGAACAGTATATAGTAGTATTGAAAACAACTACAAATTTTATTGGACTAACATCACGAGAATTATTGCGGATTATAGTTAAAGTCAATAGCCCCCATCGATATTGCTTATCCCGCGTTGTATGTCCTTAATGCAAAGGTTCAATTTTGTGAAAATTTTTTCCATAAAAAATGAAAGTGGTATATCGATAAGTTGAATCCCGTATTTTGTCAGCACCCACTCTTTGAATCAGCAAAGACGTGTTAAGCAAATGGTCATTGTATTTACTCTGCTAATTCTATCACCCTTGTTGCCGGATCATGAGCAAGATTGTAAGGATGAGAAGGTAGTGTGTATTAAGCTAACCATAGGCAGCAAACTTGCTTTTTGAATACATCAAATCATCATTATCGAGAAACAGTACATTTTTATCAGACTCTAAAAAGCGATTAGGTCTCTTGAATGAAAATATTTGACATTTTGATTTGGGCAAGGAAAATTTTATGATGATGAATACTGAATATTACAAATTGTTTTCAGTTCACTCTGCACCCCCACCCCAAATGCAAACTTATCATACGGTATAACCTAACTGAGAGAATGAATGTTAATGTATTCTAATCTAAGACTAACCGATCGATTTGTGTGCAATGTAACACAGTTAAGGGTTGACACTTTTAATTCAACTATATCGTTATTCGCTAAATAATCCAGCCATTGCCAACTTTGTTGAATCCTGTTATGAAGATGACTACACTGAACTTGAATGGATTCCTTACCGAGGAAATCACCAACGTAAAACCTACTCAAATTGACATCATGATGATGAGACGACGATGACGCAGTATTACTTGGAAGTAGCGAAGAATGCACACTAACACTTGTGAGTTTGCTAGAATATACTCACTTCCAACACACAAGTACAATAATAATGACAATAACTTTAGACGATACTCTGTATGCTTTATTATCGCAACAGTCTCATATATGGATTTACCAAGTCTAATGACGATAATTATTACATGGTCGCTCATGAACCCTTTTACTCCCGATATGGGCTTTTGCTCCACATGTGGAATACTTTCATGTGGTGCATTTGTGGTTAGAAACAATTATCCAATGGGTGACTAGCAACAATCCCCAACTCAATGACTTTATTTAGAAATCTCAACTACAAACAAACTCACCAAATGACGCCTATTTGGAATGGATTCCAGGAGATTGTATTTATGATCTGGGAAATGGACATGGATATTTGTGTGGTCGACCTACTCATACTGTGATTCCATTTGAGATAACAGACTCGACACATGATTTATATTATACTGAGGTAAACTGTTTACTTATGCATCATGTTTATTGAATAGTTAAATAATTTTGACTTACTAGTTATGTGATAAGCATCCTGACACGGATGTTTGGGTAACCATCGGATTTACATATGATGTCTATTATAAATAATATCCATGAGTATAATAGTTTTCCCCCGAGGTAGTAGAAAAGTGTCTTTGTCCTGCCTTTTTCCATTCCCTTTTAAATTCTTTCCCCCCAACGTGGGTATTGACAGCCACCTTTTAAAACGTAATAACAATAATGATAACGAATCAAATAATTTTAATATCAAGTATTTTGAAGAAAATGAAACGAATGATTGGAAAAATGATGCTTAAGGTTTATAAGCCTATTTTTAACTCTTACTAACATTTTAACTGTTAATATTAATAGTAAAACCAAAGTTATAAAGAAGAAATCCGAACAAACTATTACTATTACCAAGTACAGGGAAGTAAGTGCTATTTTGTTACTTTTTGTGACGACCCATAATATCTTATGATGTGTTGGAACTGTTCCGGACCTCCTTCGATCAATGCTTGGATATTAATATGGAAAGCAATTGTCATGCTCTTGCTAGGTTGAGCTAAGCACATGAGATTGACAGCTTCTTTCCAGTATATAAAGAAGAAATCGAATCATTGTTTGAAGAAAAAAAAAGTAATTTATTATTGTATTATTCAAATATGTCAATGTCAAGTTTCACTTATTTATCTTTTACAAATCATTTATTATGAAACCATATACATATGCTAAATATGGTGATTATTTTGACGAAACACGAATTTAAAGTTGTTTTTTATATATTATCTTATTCTTATTATTTTTTATATCATTATTATTCATTATTTAGTAACATATGTAAATGAAATTTGTCATAAAAGATTAACACAATGTTAACTATGTTAAATTTAAACGTTACTTTTGAAACCTTTGAACAAATATGAGAAATATAATACGTTGTTTATTAATAGAAATATCTTACAATATTTTGCATCATCACCGTTATACCAACACCAACAGCTATCCAAAACGCATTTTTATAAAAGTAATTATCTCTATTTTCATCAACTCTATTACAAATTACCTCCAAACTCTCTATTCTCTTTAATATTTCCACCTCCCATGTAATAGTGATAGGTCCGGTCGTTTCTTCTACCCCCAAAGCCAGATTTGATTCGACAAGTATTTTTATATCCTCAACTATCGTATCTTCATACGAAAGTTTCATCGGATTCGAACAAGTATCTGCTTCACGTGTTGCCCCGGGGGTAACCGGGTGCCACTACAATACCTACAACTTTTAAAAAACACTTCCTCCTTTTGGAGATCACCTCACTTAGTGCTTGAACCGGCGCCCGACCTTTTAAATAGAGCATGTTTAGCGTTTTTGTATTGTCATTACTTTACTAAAATACAATATATCTTACCAATGTTAGTTGCGTGATTCTTACACTGGATCAGAATCACGAATGACTTATAATATACGACCAGATCTACACCTCCATCCCCAGATTTCATTCTGACAATTAAAAATTTAATGAGTAAATGCATCCTTATAGTCAAAACCAAATGAAGAACGTTCACAGCAGGCCGTCCACCGTACGCCAGGATTGGGTACCTGGCTGGCGACTTTCGCAAGCTGTGGCCACGAAGCGCTTTCAATTCGAATGGTTAATGTATCTTATTCACCACAGCACGGGAACCTCACGCAACTTTGTCGGTCACGAGAATCGAACGTTCACAAATAAACAATTTGTTCAATCAAGAACAAATCACATAATGTTTAAAGGTATCTTATTCACCACAGCACGGGAACCTCACGCAACTTTGTCGGATACGGGAGTCGATATGTATATACACCAACTGTGCTTATCGAAACCCGAATTTACACCCAAGTGGCAGCGTACCTTCAGATACCTACATATGGATTGTTTGACTACAACTTGCAATTTGTGGCCCGGAGTGCTTTCAATTCTCGATTTACACCCAAGTGGCAGCGTACCTTCAGATACATAATTGACCACTCAACAAATACTCAGTGAAAACTCACCCTGTACGCCATTCAACATCGAATCCAGCTTCTAACAAGATATTATATATTCTCCGCTCGAATTCGGTTCCAATCTGAGTTGTGTTCGGCATCTTATAAGTATAATGTATTTGGTAATATATTTTTTAAGTATGTAAAAACAATCGATAAGTTGTTCACCTTTAGCGGGAAAGAGAAAGAAAAAGTAATCATTTCGATGATATGAACGTTAGATTTTATATAAAGTTGACAATGGGATTAATTAAAACAATAAAGTATTTACTCATCTTTTTCATGTACCATTAATGTGGCTTTGATACCAAGTCTATTATCATGCTTCACTTCAAAACTGTCAAACTTTTCACTCATATCGTAAACTTAAAGTTTCAACAACACCGCGTCCAGAGACATGTTTAAGTCGGTAAGTTGCAATGTGTAATAACAAATACCACGTTTGTATCTTAGCGATAAAGATGTCATCGAAATGTAGATGATAGATTGATAAGAGACAGTCTGATGTCGAAATGTCCGATTCCATTTTACTGTTTAACCGCCTCTTCAAGGTATTTTCTATTCCGAATGGGCAAAAAAGTTACACATAATTTGTGTCGATCATTCAAATTCACATGATCGAAAATCTAGACAAGCCACAAAAGATTTCCTTATATTAATATTAATACAGTATATACACATTTCTTGTTATCCTTAATAAGATTCTGTTGATCAATATGTAAACAATACTAAGATTATCCTCTAAATGCATAACCCTCTAAATGCATAACTTTAAATACATAAATGTGACTTAATCATTATTGCATACATCCTTTAAATGCATATTATGCAATCGATTTTTATAAATCTCATATAGTATTCTAAATGCATATATTACAGCAGTTTTCCTTGTGCTGTATAATAATGCACTACTGTAATATCAAGTCTAATCTAATCTGACCTTTTTGTTACCTTCAATATATAACGGCCAACCTCTTTTAACTTTTGGGGAAACGTATTAAGTGTATCGAAAAAATTTTTGTGTTGCATATTTTCAATGTAACACTAAGACACTCAACATCTAATTAAACCGTTGCTTACGGTAAAAAAACCCCCAAACCTCAGCCTCAATCGAATCGGTGCGTAATATAAAAGTATTGTATATATAAACTGGTCATCATACCATATAAATTCTCCAATTATTCGGGTAAAACTGGGAGTAATAATTTGCATGTGGCTGTGTGCATTTCTCATAGTTCCAAAAATAAAACAACTTTATTTTCGCATAAGATGTCATTATTTATACGGATGGTTATAACTTTGTCCTGTTTGAGCTTGGTTGTTTCAGTACGAAACCCAGTCACTGTTAAAAGATTTTTTACTACGTATATTCCAGAACAATCGCGATATCAGTCATAAGTGTTACATTAAGAAATATAACATAACAATAGCCTATTAACTTTACTACAGTCAGGACTTCTACCAAATATGGGTAGTGTCGATCACTCTTTATATGTTATAGAGGCATGAGTCAGAATATTCTGGACACTTCTAAAAGTTTTCCATGCCAAAGGACCATTTTTATTGGATACAAAAAAGGGCTATTTTTTATAGAGGAGCGAAACTTGGTTTATTGAATTCGGCACCTATTAAGAGAACTGAAGGACCATGGAGTGTCAGAATGTTGAATGTTATTTTGCGAACTCATTAAAAGCAACGAAACTAATAAGAATGTGAAAAACCACTGTATTATCTCCGCGATCGAGATAATTTTTTGTTCGTTGTCAAATGCCTTTTAGTAGCGACTCCGCCACATCCAATAATTCAGTCAACTAATTTTGGAAACGGGTATAACTATAACTTCCTGAATTTGTTATGTGATTGTCAATATTAATCATCATCATT